AATCTGGGATGCACCACGGGTTTTTCCTCCATCTGTGCCTTTCCTTTTATCTTCCACAGTCACAGATTCAGGATCACCACTCAGCACCTTGGCTCAAAACAAACACCCCAAACCCAGCCTTTCTCTTTCCTGGGGCTTTTCACCAGAGGTGGTTTAAGTTTTCCAAGCCTGCACGTTGGGAAATCCTTGGGAATGAGCCAGACACCAGCCTCACAGCAAAGCCAGCTGGATTCCAGGGTGGGAATGCACTGGCTGGAAGTGATACCTGGCACCTGAGGAATGTCAGACATCCTGGGACAGGGAGTGGGCAGAGCCTTCACCAAAAAGCATCTCTGCTCTCCCCTTCCTTGGGTCCTTCCTCACACAAACCCGAGTCAGACCATTCACCCCAATGGAAATCCTCAGGAAATTCCCAGAACTGCACAAGCTCCCACAAACAATTCACTCCTTGGAGCCAAATTTAACCCTTTTGGTGACCCAGCACTTGGAATTTCTCCTTCCATCCTCTCATGTCTCTGTTGCCTTCTCCACACTCCCCCCACCACCTCGAGGAGCTTCAGTGCCAGGAAACAGCACAAAGCAAAATGAACTTGTCCAAGATGATAAACCCCTCAAAAGCCAAAATAAAACCAAGAGAAAAACCCCCTCCACACACAGGTGGGCAGGAGGCATTCAAGTGGGAGCATTGCAAGGGAAGGAGCAAGAGGAGAGTCAGGAATGTGAGGAGGGATTACTCAGTGCTGGCAGCTGGTTCCTGGTCTGTGGAACATCAGTCACAAGTGGGTTTGGACAGTGATTTAAATTTCGAGGGAGAATACAGGCAAGGAGGGGAGGGAGAAGCAGCTCAGACTTCCTTCAGACATCAGAAACAGGCAGGAGCACAGGCCACACTTGTCCTTCCCAGGTTATCTGTTCCATGGCCTGGCTGACACATCCATGGTAATTAGGATAAAGTGTGAAAATTATTCCCAAAAACATCTGTACTAAGCAAGTGCAGCACTGAGTGACACTTAGGCCAGCAGGGAAAGCAGGAATAGTTTCCTGAAGTCCTACATTTCACATGAGATTTTTCCCTCCTCTAATATTATGCAAAGTTCAGGGTTTTGAGGGGAGGTGCCCTCTGACAGCAGCACTGCTGCTCTTGGCCACACACACTCAGCTGCTCCTGTCTCAGTTTTGCTTGAAGCATTTCCCAACCATGAATAAATCCAAAATTTCAAGGTTTGGTCTCAGGCATCCCCAGGATCATCCCCAGGAGCTCCAAAGCTCTGTTGCAGCAGATTATCAAAGTAACTAAAACAGAGTTACCAAAAGGAAGAGGAAACATTTTCTCAGATGGAAATGCTACAACAGTAGCACCAACAGCTGGTCTAAACCAAACCCACCAAACTCCAAACCAAGCAGAAACAGGGCTTTGGAAGTATCAAAAAATCACGAGAAATTTCACCTCCTTTCTCCAGGAAGTTAAAATATTCCGGAAAAAGCGAAGAGCTTTCCATGAGAAAGCATCCTCAGCCCGAGTGCAAGGGAGCAAGAGGACTCTGCTGGGAAGAGGGACACACACACAGGGTGCCCCGGGTGGCTCTGGGGGAGATCCCAGGCCAGCCTGTCCTGCTGTGAGCGGGAACCCCCCACAGATCCCCGCAGAGCCAAAGCTCCACCTGCCCCCGTGCTTGGTGTGACAGAACCCAGGAGAGCAGGCCCGGGGCTCCCTTACCTGAGAGGGATCCCCGCAGAGCCA